GTGTCATCTGCATAGAGATCTGTAGATGATATTGAATCCTTTAGTACAAGTGGTAGGTCATTAATAAATAAAATAAACAGTAATGGACCCAGAATTGAGCCTTGTGGTACTCCACATCTAATTGTGTCAGGTTCAGACAGAACATTATTAATATAAACATGTGTTCTCTCACTTAAGTATGAAGTAAACCATCTAACTGTGCTTTCATCACATTGGTAGATTTTCAGTTTCTTCAAAAGGATTTCATGATCTACCATGTCAAAAGCTTTCCTGAAATCTACAAATACAGAACCTATTATTCTACCTTGATCAAGTGCTTGAAGCCATTTATCAGTTAGGGAGATCAAGGCAGTCTCACATGAGTGTTTCTGTCTAAAGCCTCATTGATTAGGGTATAACAGAAAGTGTTTGGTTAAATATGATATGAACGAATCATGGACATGCTTTTCAATCAATTTTGACAAGTTTGGTAGTATTGAGATTGGCCGGTAGTTATCAGCATCATCCTTAGGGCCAGATTTGTGAATAGGAGTTACTTTTGCAGTTTTCCATATTTTGGGAACAGATGAGGATGCAATACTTAAATTGATTATGAATGTTAAGCTATCTACAATAGCACAAAAAAGGCCACCATTTTTACAGCTTAATTATGATGCTAATATTTGTGACCCACCCCACCATTGGCAGTTTTATCTGCAGTCACAATCCTAAAAAATTATTTACTTGTGTCATTGGGTCAACCATTCTTATCAAACCCACATTGGTGGAACTTTGACATAATTTCTAATCGAGCATTCTGGTGTTTTTATGCAGATCTGTCTATGCATCTATCTGTGCACATGTATGTCCACACTCTAGGGTATGTCCACACTCTAGGTTAACCTCGATAGTAAAGTTTAAATTTACTTCAGTGTGTGTTTTTACTTACATACAAGCCCATGAAAAATGGGGTCTCTTGTCATTCCTTTGCTCTTAAATAATCATTGAATGTATATCATCCTGTCTGTGATCTGTCCAACAGATGGGAATCTTAAGATTTTATTTTATGTACTAACTGCTCCAGTATCCTAGTGGTTAGAGCATCATCATCAGATGTGAGAGGTTGCAGGTTCAAACCCCGGAAGAGTCATACCAAAGACATATAAAAATGGTACCAGCAGCTGCCTCACTAGGCTCTGAGAGATTAGTGTTAGGACTGGTTGGCCTTGTGTCATAATAATATGACTGGGTGAGACATGATGCCCCAACGCACAACATCACTATAAACTGCTATGCTACAGACATCATTGTGATATGAATGAGGATTTTTTAAAGCTACATTAAATATCCAAATCTCTCACACATAAATACACACACACACACACACACACACACACACACACACACACACACACACACACACATATGCATAGTATGTACTTGCATTTAAATATATCCAACTCCAAAAAACATAGACCATGATCTGCCATTGGACAGTGTTCCAGCAAATCAGGGTGCACATTGTTTGGTCTATTGATTAATGCTAACAATCTAAATAAATCCAGATCTGCTGGGGTACTCTGCAATGGAAGATCTGGGTCTTATACAGTGGACAGTTCAATCTGACTTATCAGCAGGTAGACTTGGTAATCTATCTTAAGGAAGACAAAATGTGTATGCCTACACAGTTTTGTAAGCTGGGCATTTTTCTTTGAACTGTCAGCACATCCATCAACACCAAAAAGACTTGGCTTGATAGCATAATTGTGTTAAAACCTATAAACAGAATTTGGCTGGCACATTTGTAAACACATGTGGTTGACATCATTAGCTCTTTGGGCTATTGTAGTTATTTTTCAATTTTTTTACACTTTTTAAAATTTGTTTTGGACATCAACATTTTTTTACAAAAACTTTTTAGCACAATTAGGCAAAAACCAATTAAGACTGCTATTGCAGTTATTTTTCAATTTTTTTACACTTTTTAAAATTTGTTTTGGACATCAACAATTTTTTACAAAAACTTTTTAGCACAATTAGGCAAAAACCAATTAAGACTGCCAAAATTAAATTTGTTGTTACTATATATACCTGCAAATAACAGACACTGCAACATAACACACTGGCACATCAGAGTCAGTATTCTGATTACTCATAGCAATTAATTTGCATGAACACCACTCTCATCCATGACACTTTTTTCTTGAAGATCATTGGCAAAATTATTTTAAACTGAGTAATATGCTTACATTACCAACATTATTACTGTACATGTATATACTTCCTTACATGTCTAGTCCAATTGCAAATAAAACACCCTGATTGCATAAAGCACTGGCACATAAAGGTCAATGCTGCTTGTTGTACTGATTATTCCTAAGAAACTGCATAGACCCAGATCTGACTGAACACTATGAAGTGGCAGATCTGGGTCTGTGCAGTATACAGTTGGACTCAATGTATAAGTGAGCATATAACGTAACTCTCAGAGTAATAAGATGAAGGTGATTACTCTTTGTGGGTTAGTCAGTGTCTCCTATAGGGTTACAAGGTTGAGTGTCAAATATCCTCTTGGTGTCAGTCTGGGGTCAAATTACACATCTGGAGGTCTCTGGTACACTAATGAGAGTGAAGGGAAACTCTACAATATTGCTTAGTTGAGTGTCTTCTATATGCATGACAAATTAAATTCTTCAAGTTTTAAAACTAACTTTAACTTTACATGATGACAAGTTGAGTTTCTTGTAACTTCATTTAGTACAGCAGTACTATGTTTCCATATCAATATTTGAACAAATATTTAATTTCCAATAAAATTATACATGGGTCCTGGATGGCAGAGTGGTCTGAAGTTCAAATGCCTTTACCAATGACTGCCATCAAACCTCTGTCTGAATGGATTTGTGTCTCCAGCTTGGCTAATGTGGATATGTGAGCAAGCTGCAAGTAACTTTGTGAGTCAGTGATTTATACATGGGTTTTCATGGGTGCTTCCTCCAACCAAGTTATGGCCACCATACAAAGCTTCTCTTGACCTAAAAATGGTGTTAACCCCAAAGCAACAACAAAATTATACAAAACAAAGTCACATATATTAAACAAGTCATAGCAGTTTATAATGTAAAAACTTGTGCCAATAATTTAATAATTTGGTAGCACCCATATTTTAATATATTGAACAGCTCTCAAATTTAGTTCATTAGACAATAAATTCCACTGCTGTGCTGACTATTAGCAGTGAGTTGCAGTGGGGAAAAAAATCAGAACTACGCCACACACAAAAATTAACTAACTAAGGATATGTGACATTTTTATGTACCCTTGCATATGCTGGAATGAGGAATAATTCACATTTACTTTTATCCAATGTATCCTGATGGAATTAATTTGTCTACCCATAAGCTTACTGAACAGAATTGTTTATAAAATAAAAGGCCATAAAAAGAAGAAAAAGATTTACTTATAACATAAAAAGAATTATTTAAAACATAAAAGGTCTGAAATGAGAAAGGTGATGATTACTTTTTTTCTTTTCTTTTTGACATATGTATTGTGCATTATCAATTGTTTCAAGATATTTGTGAAAAATCCATAATTTTCCCATATGGGTAAAAATAGACTTTCCAGTTGGTGAAAATATTTGGTTTACTTAGACTTCATCCACATTCTTGTGTTAAATACCTAAACTCATTAATTACTACTATATTTTTAAAAACATTTTCAGAAAAGGAAAAGAAATAATTTAATTATTTTTGTTAGAAAATTATGTTCTTTCAAAACAAAAACCAATGCTGTTTAATGATTATATTATTGACTGAAATGTGTGTATGTGTGTGATTTTGATTTTTGACATAGCTTTAATTTTTTCAGTCATATCCATAAGATGGCTGCAGTGAGACAGTTTACAGTAATGTCTGGCACTGGGTCATCGTGACACAACATGTAGCATCATGTCCCACCCAGTCACATTATCCTGACACCAAGCCAACCAGTCCTAATTCTAACCTCTTAATGCTGAGACCAAAATATTATATCAACTAGCATGTTCTATATATGTGGAATGAAAACACCTCCAACAATCTTTGGAATATAAATCCCATTATTAGAGGGGCATCAAGGGATATATAACAAACTGCATAATGAGGTGGTACTGTAGGACAAAACCTGGCCTTGACCAGATAGCAATTATCATGCCAGGGGAATACATTCTTGTCTTATGAATCAACATCACTCTTAAAAAAAAAAAACATTCAAAACATTTATTTCTAAGAAATTGATTTTTTAAAATCTCCATTAAGAAGTTTTATGATTTTTTTCAAAAGGACGCATTTCTATGCAACAAAATTTAACCTTATATTTGTAAGATTTGATTGTGGGGTTTGGTACCATTATTTTTTTTTTATTTTTATATTTTTTTAGGATTTAACTTTTCTTACCTTAATGTTTTATTCTGCATCCTATACCTATTAAAAATGTTTACATCTGTGCCTTTTATCTTTTGAGGAACATATTTTAACATTAATTTGGTAAAATTTATATTCACACAGATTTTAGCAATATTTACATTGTCATTTTTAGAGCTTAACTTTTAAATGATGTGCTAATGTCCTAATAAACCTTCCTACCCAGCATTTTGATACCAAAGCATAATCTTTATTAGGCCAGAATTAGACCCATTGTATATTTGATATTGGCCAGATTAAGACACAATGTAAAGTTTAGGCTAGTCTACTGTATGTCCATGTAATTCTACCTTGGGATATTGTCTAAGCTAAACCATTTTCCCCAGGGTGTACATCATACCTAGTTGTATTCTACTCCTACCCTGTCCTTGGCCTAGTAGAATATGAGTGTATGTTAAACAGGTACAAAAGTTATAATATATAAATATATATGATTTGTATTCTTTATATATATATATATATATATATATATATATATATATATATATATATATATATATATATATATATATATATATATATATATATATATATATATATATATATATATATAAAACTGCTCCAGTGGCCTAGTGGTTAGAGCATCTGCCTTGGATGCAGGAGGTCGTGGGTTCAATTCCCGGTTGAGTCATACCAAAGATTTACAAAAATTGTACTAACAGCTACCTTGCTTGGTGCTCATCATTAAGAGGTAATGTTTGGACTGTTTGGCCTTGTGTCAGGATAATGTGACTAGGTGGGACATCATGCTACATTTCTGTGGCATGATGCCCCAGTGCTAGACATCACTATAAACTGCCAATCTTTTCAATGAAACAACAATCATAAAATAGGAATAGCACAAAAGTCATATCCTGATAACATGAGTGAAAACAATTAATGAAATGGAAAAGAAGATGTTTTGTATAAGAGAGAAAAAGATGTGGGGTGTAACCTGGGCAGGGGAAGCTAAGGAGTCTGGCTAATACATTCCAGCCTGAATCCTGCCACATTCACAGAATTAAAGAAATTTTTTTGTCATTTCTAAATTAATTAAGTTTAATTAAACTAAAAATGCAACTTTGCTTTTCATTTACATATGCAGCAGTTTGATCTAGAGCTCTGCTTTTTCAGGAAAGGAATATTTCTCTATGTTGAGAGCAGATGTACAGCTAATAAATTGAAGCTGTAATACTGCTAAAAAAAAGCTATTACAATTGGAATTTTTGAGCTGAATCCAGTGAAACTAATTTAAATATTTTACCACATTTTCAGCTTCCAGTCTAGTAAGATTTATGGTGGAAACCAGAATTGCTATAAAAATGTTTTTTAGGTTAAAATTTTCAAAATTTTCTTGCATTGTCCAGTCTAGCACAGCCAAAAATTCATACAAGATTTGTAATCCATAGGGTCCTTTCTATACTAAATAATTTGGGGCAGCAGATTTATTTTTTACATGCAAACGAAAATTACAACACATTAAAGATAAACTAAACAATAATAATTAAATGAAGTTACAGCTCAGAATTAAACAACAAACAGATGGAGAATAACAGAAGATGAAATAATGAAATTTGCATGGAGGTGTAATAGAGTGAAAAAAAAATATCACATATTGTTCATTTGCTGAAAACTTTTGTAGCAGAATATTTTTAAAAATTATTTTAAATATTTCTTTATTTGTCATTTTAGTTCATGTAAGTAACAGTTTTAGCACATTTTTTGGTTTCTTTGACTGATATTCTTGATGTTATGTGGTAAAGCATTCCAAAAGAAGACAAAAAAATGAATGTTTTAAATGTATTTAATTTATTCAACAGTGTGTGTGTGTGTGTGTATATATATATATATATATATATATATATATATATATATATATATATATATATATATATATATATATATATATATATATATATATATACTGACACACACACATCAATTGTTTATTATTCCGCTCTGATTTGACATTCTGATTAACGATATATAGACCTTTCCCTAATCAACGTTATAGAGATGCTATACTTTTTAGTATATCAATGATCAGCGTCTAAACGCAATGGGAATGAAAATAAATTGGTGAGAAAATACTGTTTCTTCTGTTACAAGGTAGGGTTTTTTTTCCCGATAAAAATCGCTTATGTTTTATTTTGACACGTTTTATATAGCTAAAATTTGCATAACAATACAGTAAGAGATGCAAAAAAGACAGTTTGGAAATCTTTGTTATTGAACCATGTCGTTCCATTAATTATCAGTGACAATGATGAAATAGCAGTGAATCATCTTAACACTCCCTGCTGATGTTTACTATTTCTAAAGACTTTATAATCAAAAAATAAGCCTAAGAAGGGATTGTACAATATTTAATGCAGTTGTGTAATTTAAGTCTCTTTTGATGTTTGCTAACGTCTCAATAGTCGGATTTATTCAATAAAAAGCGTCACACACGTCAATGCGCATTTACTCATTTTAAATTAAATATAAATTGTTATTTTAAAATTTAGCACTCCCTTTTTAGCCAAAGCCTATCCAGTCCCAATTATTGAATATTCTGCACCTTAAGTGTCATCGAGAAACTTCCAGACGGAAATTTTCGATCTCGGTGGTCTTTTACAATGGTGGCTATGTACTACACTTGGGTCAACAAAAGAGCATGTCGAGTGGAATTGTCACAGTTTAGTGTAGTACGAATTTGTTTATCAATATGTGTAGCTTTCGATATGACATCACAGTGTGTGACATTCAATCGAAATTGTATTGGATCACATTGTTAGGTTCATTTCATCAAAAATTGTCTATACATTTTAACATTGATTTGGCTATATGCATTTTTCGGGGTATCTAAATAATGATCTTCCAAAGAAATGTTGATGTATAAGAATCAAAATGAAGTGAATACATGCCACTTAAAAGTATGCAGAATCAATTCTAAAAAGTGACACCCATTACTGAAATTGCCTATGTTGAATGCCCACATGACCTCTGTGAATTTTGCTGTAATGCAGTCATCTCTGTGAAAAGTCATAAAATGTATGATGTCCACTTTTATATTTATGAGGATAATGTAATACAGAGGTCTCACTAGGAATTGAAAACTAGAAGTCCAGGAATCCTAATTTGGTAAAAATAGGAGTCCCACCAGCAAAAGTTGCAGTCCGAACTAAGCCAGAAATCATATACTTTCTTATACTTGGCTATGGTCGCATCTGAACTATCAGTTATAGCAACTTCAGCACAGTTTTGAATCTCCTTGAAATCTTCATCATTTTTTCGTTTAACTACAAAATACTTGTCAAAATTTGCAAACAGCATTTTGTCCAAGTCTCTTGATTTCGAGTTCACAGGCAATATTTATATGGCAACAAACAAAAATGAAATCTATAACAGTTGATTGCACTGGGCTTTGCCAATGTCGCAAATTGCAATTATGTTTTACATATTGGCAATAAAAATATACCTCCTGGCCATATTTTTGGCTACAACATTTCTGGTTGATAAAAACAATACAGTCTTGAGTTTGGAGTTGAGAAATTCAAACTCACCATGACAGGCAGCAGCAAACTTGGATATAAAAATGCACTGGACTCAGTTGTTACATAAATCCTTATTTCATATTGACAAACTACCCTAACACTTAATCATTATATCATAATCCACTTATGCTGATATCTGGCCTTGATACTTGTATGCTGTAATATAATCAAATTAGCCATGCAACTGACTAGCTACAATTGACTGCCTCTGAGGGCAGGAAAGTGAAATGACTACAGTCAACCACATGACAGCAATTTTTCAACAAAAAAAAACACCCCTCCTGAAAAATAGTTTTGCTGCAACTTCAATGAAAACTGATTGCCTTTGAATCACCAATATATAATAAGGAAATTTTTCTAAAAATGTGTCAATGTTTTACAATTCATTTGATGTTGCCGCAAATGGGTGTTTGTTTTGTCCGTCAAAGGGAGCCTTTAGCGGTGCCTTCAATAACACATGCACCTTCATGAATGCAAGCTGACGACCTTTGATCAAGAAATCAGCAACAAACTAAAACTAAAATTAAAGCATTGCTTTAGTTTTTGTAGTGATTAGAACATATTTATTTTGCCGCAAAAGGTTCCTCCTTGCAACAAAAATGTGCATACGGAGGACTACCATGTCGGCAATTTTGTGTCCCAAATCAAAAGTTTACGTCCAAATACGCTTAATTGCTTCCGAGATCACTGGTAATACATTGAAGAACTACTCGGTACATGGGTCATGTTTATTTTTGTTTTATTTTTTTGTATAGAGCTTTGAATATATATAATACCCCAGTCCAGAAAATCCAGCAAACCTGACTACAGAAATTTAAGAAGGGTACATATACTTCTTGCATCAGTGAAGTCTAACACTGACTGGATGATGCAACAATTAAAAACAAACATTTTACAAAATTGTGCAGAAAAAAGGAAATATGGATATAAGGTTTAAAACAAAAATGATAATAATTTCAAAATCAAGTTTAGATTGATCCAGCTTCAACTTGCAGGAGGAGTTCTGCAAAGAGGAAAGGTCTGGGGAAGAAACTGATTTTGTAATAATTTTCTGAGGCAGAGAATAGTTTGAATTTAGTAGAGTAACTGGCACTAGTATGACTGGATGCAGGTCTAGGTATTCTGAGGCTCAAGTATTCCCAGATTGGTGTATTGCCAGTGGTCTCCCTAAATCAGCAAAAGAGCGTTGAGCAGGCTGCATTGAGTCATTTTGATATTGTTTGGGGTTTTAGACTGATATACAATATTTAAGACATTGTTTAGCATTTTCAAGTAGCAAAATTGCAGCTATTTTATGTGTCCCCCAGCATATTTCTTATTCTGAATACAAAATATCATTTACAACAAACTTCTACTTTACTACTTGTTTTAGCCAGCAGTGTGTAACTAGCAAAATGCTCACTTAATAATATGAATTTCACACATAGAAATAGCCTTTGCAAAAAGAGAAACAGTTTCTTCCATTTATGTGTTTAAAAAAGTCACTTTTTACACAAGGACAATAAAGAACTTCTATAAAAAAAAGGCATCCTTGCATTGTTGTGAAATTATACTAACAAACCTTGATATTTAGATCCCATCATTAGGTACAGTTATGATAGTGATGCAGGAAATCAATCTGCAATTCAATAAATCACTTTTGAAATATTAATTTTGTTCCTAAGAATGATTTTGTCAAACCTACATAAACATTGTGAGACATTAAAACACTAGCACATGCTTCCATTTGTTTGTAACCCCTAATGATTTTAAAACTGAAATGTGTCAAGGATATGAAAAATGCACAGAATTTTTGTCATGTCATTCACTTAATTGTAATTTTTTAACATGATTAGTGCAATAGGTTTCTAACACTGTTAAATTATTGTCAATTCAACACAATTGGAAGCTCTTAATATAAACAAGCAAACAGACTGCAGACTGTCCATTTCTGGTTTTATAAAATGGTCTATTTCAGTAAAAACTTGTCATCTGCATCTAATATTTGCAATGTCTAGTTTAAATGTTTCTACAAGAAATTGAGCAAAGAAATAGGATGAACCTTTGTATACACATGTTCAGAGAGATGTAAATCTAAAATTTGCATTATTGGGACTTTCAAGGACAGTGAACAATA